ATTTTGGCCTCAGGAATTTGGGGGTTGGACTGGCCTGGGAGCCTGGCCCAGGAAAGATGCTGGTCTAGGGCAGCTAGTGGCCTTGCCACCGGAGATGCAAAGGCAGATGGGGTGGGAAGAGGCCCCAAGGACTCCTGGGGACTGCACTGAGGAGCTGGGTTGGTCTGGATGCAAAGGATCAGGAAGAGGAAAATGTCAGCTCCTGTGTCCCAGAAAGAGGCTGGTGGGTGGTGCCAGCCCAAGGAAGCAGAGGGAGGTGAGGTTGGGGCCAGGCCCAGAAGCAGTGCTCCTGGGGCCAGGAGAAGGCACTATGTTGGTCAGGATGAAAAGGATCAGGAAGCAGTATTGGTTCCCCAGGTGTCTGGGGCCCCAAGACAAGGAATGGGGCAGAGCCCAAACTTGGAGGAGAGAGTGGTGAAGATTGGAGGGTGAATGAGGGTGGGGGAGTCAAGGCCCAGAGAGAGGCCTGTGGGTAAGAGAGGGCCCTGGGGCAGGAATTTCCAACTCCTTTTTTTAAAAAATATTTTTTTAGAAATTATTTGTGAGCATTAAGAAAATTCATCTTCCTTCTATTAATTAATTAATTTTTGTTTTATGTGTATGTTATGTCTGCATGTACATAATTGCACCTGTGTTGTGCAATGCCCATAGAGGACAGAGTGGACTTTAGATCCCCTGGAACTGGAATTATGAACAGTTGTTAGCTGCCATGTGGGTGCTGGGATTTGAACCCTGGTCTTCTGAAAGAGCAGACAGTGCTCTTAACCACTGAGCCATGTCTCCAGCCCAACATAAATCTTTAAAAAACATTTTTATTACACTTTTTTGGGTCTGAGTTGGTTCTCACCTTCTACCATGTTGGTTCTGGGGATCAAACTCAGGTTATCAGGCTTGGCAGCAAGCGGCTTTATCTGCTGAGCCATCTTGCTGACCCTACACAAATAAATCTAAGCAAGGATGGATTTAGGTTTCTGAATTATGGTGCTTTAAGCCCTTTACTGTGCACTGTCTACTAAGAAAGGAAAGAGGATGCAATATTCCCTGATGTACTTCCTTATTTTTTTAGGGTTGAATTGTTTTGTTAACTTTTAAAAAAATTTTATTGACAATTTCATACATGCATATAAGGTATTTTGATCAAATCCATGCCCACTCCCTCCCCTCCAATACCTCCCATATCTCCCCATCACTTTTTTCTGACTTCGTTTCCTTCCTTCCTTCCTTCCTTCCTTCCTTCCTTCCTTCCTTCCATGGGGCTCTCTGCTACTCGAACATTCCCTCTCTGAAGAGGTAACCCTAAAATCTTTTAGGGATTACATAAGAGCACCCAAATACTTTTGACATTTTTGGCCTTTGGATAACATTCCCTGTTGTACCTCCTTTTATAATCCTGTTCCTCTGCAGTTTTCATCTAGAAGTTCCCTATACTAGAACTATTTCTATTTGCAATCTGTGTCCCACCCTTTGGGATGACATATAGCACCTGTTATTTGATGGCTAGAGGAAGGCCTGGGTGTATTTGGCCTAAATGTCTCAGGCCTAACTTCAGAGAGCTCCCTCAGAATTTCCTTTTAGGGCCCCTCATTGCTAATAGTCTCTAGTCACTGTATTCCCCAGACCACCCTCTTCTCTCCACACACCCAGCTTTCTCCCTCCAACTTAGCTCGAAGCACAGGAGATGGGGAAGAGGTTGCATTCACATCTGTGCTAGCGAATAGGCAGTGGGCCATGTGCCAAGTTAGTTTGTAGAACTTTCAGAGAGTGGAACTTTGTAGATGGCTCAGGCTTGTTCTGATAAATGCCTGTGTGTGTGTGTGTGTGTGTGTGTGTGTGTGTGTGTGTGTGCAATTATGCAAGGTTCTTATTCCAAGGGATGCTGCTGTCTTGAGCTTCCTTTCAATTCTTTCCCCACATTTCACTTTTTTGCAGTTGTCCTCAAGGTGCCTTGCTATGCAGTCTGAATTCTTACCCTTGATGATTTTCAGGAAAAAATACCCTCATCTGTTAGAATTATGTATAAAGTAATAGTAAAGTGATAATGAAGAAGAACTATGACTTTCCCACGAGCAAAGCAAAGCACATGACAATTTAGTATATATCTTTTGGGTGGTTTCTTGTGGAAACTTTAAAGGCTTTTTCTTCTTATTTCCTGGTCTGAGTGTGGTGTAGAACAGAATAACAGGCGAGGCGATCCTGAATTCCACTGGGGTAAACTCCCAATGCGGAAAGACAGAGCATAGTAAGAAACCACCATGCTTCCAGTAGGTGCACCAATGCGAAGGAGATTGCGGCTGGGAAAGTCTTCAAAGATGGTTCCACCGTTTCACCTCTGGTGAGTCACAGACAAGCTCTGGCTAGGCAGGGCACTTCAGGGAGTGCCACACTGGAATTTTACCAAGAACTGTCCTAGCCCTCATCCTGAATTCATTGGAAGAAACATCCTCAGGTATTCAAAGGATCATGTGACTTGAGGCCTAGGCTTATGGATTCTGTCTTAGACAGAAAGCATGGCTGGCTACTGGCTTCCCACAGAAAATGGAGAGCAACAATGGTTATAAGGACATAGAAACACAGCATGCCCTCATGTGAACCTTCTGAAGAAAAGATGGCAGAGGCCAGATAGGTTGGGGAGGGTAGCTGGAATAGTAGAGGATGCTTTGCTCAACCTGACCAGCATAGGTATGTGCTGGCCTCTGAGGACAGCTTTCCCCTCAGTATCCCCTCAGTTCATTGTATACTGCATCCTTCCTTTGGTAGTGACAAAACTGAAGCCGACATAGAGCAGGGCCTTGGCTTAAATCGTATATTTTCTAAGCCCAGAACAGTGGATACTATCCTTCCCCTACACCATAACTAACTTTCATTTGTGTCTTTAGCCAAGCTTAATTTAAGCATGCTTCTTCCCTTTAAACTCTGTTTTCTACCTAGGAACCTAGGAACCAGTGGGAGGGCCCTCCCCCTAGCTCTTCTCTCCTACCCCCTGATTCAGTTTTGCCACTGAGGGAGGAGTGCTGCAGGGCCTCACCATGAGGAAGGAGTACCCAATCCAGAGGCTGCGCCAGCCCAGAGGGCACAGGGGAGTGGTGACGTCCTGGCTGTGCACAGCAATGGCTTGTGAGGGTGCTTCACATACAGAGCAGCGGCTGATGTAGTGGGGAATCTGGGTCTGGCCCACAGGCATCATGGCAATGGGGGCAGTAGTGGAGAGCCAGTAGGATTTATCATTGCGTCTGGCATAGTGGCAGACTTCATTGATATTGCAATAGATGAAGGGCATGGTGCTGAAGCGGGGTAGGCAGGAGACAGCAAATCCTAGGATGAGAAGATGGGCAAGGACAGGTAATGGATGACTAAGAGGCAGAGCCACCAGCCTGGACTGGCTGATGGTGTGGATTTCTATCCAAGTTCTTGCCCAGAGAAGGATAGGTCCATCCTCACAGTACTGTGACTCTGCTACATTCTGAAGTCTGTGGATCAAATCCTATCATAAATGTACCAAGGGAGTTAAAGAATGATGGGAATTTTTAAATTATATATATATGTATTTTACATTTTTTAGAAGCATTTCATTACCGCTTTAATATACTCAATAACAGTTTCCAGAGCAAAGATACATCTCTTTCAAAAGTGGCTATAAAATTTTTAGGTTCACTGTTGAATTAATACAGTTATACAATATTGAACTCAGTATAAACCCTGTAAGACATAAAATTGAATGAGTTTTTAACTTTTAAAAAAGATCTCCAGTTCATTTAAAAATATACTGTTTCTTACAGAAAGGCTCATTGTTTTTGCTAATAACACTGAGATGTTGGTACATGCATCTCTATTCTGTATGTATCTGATTATTACTAGTCATAATCCATTGCACTCAGATCCTTAGCACCTGTTTATGTCTATTTCGATAAAGTGAATAATCACTCCCTAATTAATCTGCTTTGTAAAAGCAGCATTTAATAGGCAGAATCCACATTTAAGAGTTAGTATGCTTCCAGCTAATGCAATTAATCCTTGGGTAATCATCACTGCCCTGCAGGTCATGTTATTATTGTTATTACTAATCACTAATTCTTAATAGAGGCTTAAGTGTATTTTACATTGGGTGACTCACGAAATTCTTACGCTACCTGTGTGATAGGTACTAGAAATAGCTTTGTTTCATTAAGAGGAAGTGGAAGCATGGAGAGATTCAATAATTCACCCAGGCTGATGGCTATAAAGTGGTAGGTCCAGTATTTGAATCAATAGCTATTTGACTCCAGTGCTTAAAATCCACTTCAACCATGGGTCTAAATGGCTAGGAGAAGAAAAGAGGTCAGTTCTCAGTCCTGTAGGGACAGGTAGCAAAGGCAGGCCGTCAGAGACTGTACTTACCCAGGTCCTGGTTATGGGCTTTCTCCTGTCCCTCCATGAACAGCAAGCTGTAACCCACCCACAGCCGGCTCATCCCGATGGGGCACAGGGGCACCTGTTCTGACTGACTGTGCTTCACCAGTGTGTAGCCCACTCTCACACTGTGCCCAGGCACTCCAGGCCTCCTAAAGGGGCCCTGCTGCCCTGGAGCTCCTGAGGAGAGAACATAAAAGTGAGTGTGGTACAGCTGATGGTGTCGTCAGCCATTCACTTGGTGTTAAACATTGTACAAGGCACATCACATATATGAGTTAAGTCACTGGATCCTGATGCCCTGGGAGATTGGCACTATTATTAGCCTATGCTGGAGAGGAAGAGGAGACTGAGGATCTGAGTTGCCCCAGCTAGAAGGTGGTAGAGCTAGAACTCCAACTCACACATGCTCAGCTACATAATTTCCATTTTTTTATTTAAAAAAATTTATTATTTTTATTTTTGTGTTTATGAATGTATTTCCTGCATGTGTGTAAGTGCACTGGTGTTGTGCAATTCCTGTGGAGATCAGAAGAGTGCATCAGATTGCCCTGGAACTGGAGTTACAGACAGTTGTAAGCTACCATATAGGTGTTGGGAACTGAACCCAGGTCCTCTGCAAGAGCAACAGTACTCTTAACCACTTAGTCATCTTTCCAGCCCCCACATAATTCCTGTTTTAAAGAGTATGTTATCTGGGGCTGGAGAGATGGTTCATCACTTAAGAGCTCTTGCAGTTCTTGCAGAGGACCTGGGTTCATTTCCCAGCACCATGTGGCAGCTAACAGTCAACTGTAACTCCAGTTCCACGGTATCTGATGCCCTCTTCTGGCCTCCACAAGCATGGCACACATGCTTCCACACATGCAGGCAAAACACTCATATAGATAAAATTAAAATAAATTAATTAAAAATAGTATATTGGGACTGGAGAGATGGCTCAGAGGTTAAGAACACTGACTGTTGTTGCAGAAGACCCAGATTCGAATCCCAGCACCCACATGGCAGCTAACAACTGTTCCGTAACTCCAGTTCCAGGGGATCTGACAGCCTCTTCTGTCTTCTGCGTGCATTGCATGACATGGGTGCACTTACCTGCATGCAGGCAATACCCGCATACACATAAAAATAATAAATAAAATATTTTAAAAATAGTATATCATCCATTGTTCCTCTCCAGTCATCTGTCCTTCAGTTCTATGAGTGGAGATTACTGGGTGGAGTGGAATTTTTCTTGGACCTGGCCATGAAGACTCTCACAGGACATAATTAAGTAGCTGCTGAATCAGAGGCATTATACATAGTGTTAGGATTAGCAGGGTAAAGCTTAACCCTCCTCTCCTTCACATGGTAGATATGACCATTGGAGTACATTCCACTACTGAGCCTCAAAAGTGTTTTCTAGTACAAGTGGTTTGCTTTCCTTGCTGTAAAACGGAAGATAAGCAGTGGAGGAATGGGCAGATACACCACATCTCCAACATTAGAGCTTAGGCTCTATCCCCTCTATCCATGTCAGAGTAGGACAGGCAGCTGGGAAAAGCAGAGCCAAGGGGACCATGAGTTGGAGGCCAGAGTTGGATGCATATTGAGTTAGAGGGTGGTCTGGATGACATAGTGAGTTGTCATAGCTAAACAGAGATATGCAGCAAGACTGTCTAAAAAACAAAACAAAAATGGGAAGAGAACCCAGAGAAGGATTCAGACGAGTCTATTGCCTTCTAGAATGTAGAACTTCCCTTCATAGGCTGTGGGGTGTGTGGAATAGAAAGAGGGAGAGCCCAGCCTTTGAGCCGCCTCATAGTGGCAAATTCACGAGGTTCATTAAGTATGCAAGTTTTATTCTCCAGACCTTCAAATCCTGGTGGGCCTTGTAGTTTGGGGAGACCAGGATCACCAAGGGTACCAGGTGGGCCTGGAAGCCCACTGGGGCCATCCTTTCCAGGGATGCCAGGTAGACCTTTGGAGCCTGCAGAAGAAAAAAACCCACAGGGTGAGGGGTTCAACATGCAGATTCCAGTCTCCTTCCTTGGACTCACCAAGAGAAGGTGCACTGGTTGGCACCTCGGTATGCACAATGCATACGGAACTAAGGCTTGCCTGGGCTGTGTCTTAGTTTGTGGGGACATCTCTGCCCTGGTGTGGTTCTCTTCACTTAGCCTTTCTGAGCCCTTTCACATCTGCTTTGCCTTTTCCCTTTCTCTCATTCTCCAAGCAATGCTGGGATGGAGCACCACTGTAAGGGGAACATGTAGTCCTAGGGAAGCTAGTGAGTTTCCCTTGTTGGGGTAAAGCTAGGATTCAGAAGCCAGATTTCCTGTCCTCTTTCCTATGCCTTCTCCACTGTCTTGTGTTCTCCCTTTATCCATCACCACATCCTGTCTATGTCTGAGCAGCACTTGCAGCACTTGAGAGGGCAAGCTGTCTGGAGAAGAGACTCACATGTTCTCTGAAGCCAAGTAAAACCACTGCTCCATTGGCCTTCTGGCCTTTCCCTGCCCTGGCAAGGAGTTTGGGAGCTTTGTGAAGGAATAGAGAAAAAAGTCCTTGAAGTCACGCTCTTGGAACTCTGGTTCCAAGCCAATTGCTTCAGCCTCTCAACCAAGACCTTTCAGCTTCCTAAAGGAGTCTCATTTCTCAGGTGTCATTCTTACCTTGCAGACACACAGGGCCTTGAATCCCAGGCTCCCCTGTGAGACCAGGGATGCCATCGATGTCTGGCAGGCCCAAGGGTCCAGGATGAACCTGGACAGCTTCAGCAACTGGTGTATGTCCAGGAGTACCCTGGGGGCCAGGAAAGCCTGGGGGCAGGTGAGGAAATGGCACAATCAGGCTGAAGCAAAGGAAAAGCACTGGTGGCCTTCTGGTTTGTCTAGCAATCACCATCGGTCTGCCCTGCTTGTGTTTACAGTTCCCACTTGATGCCTCGAGGACAGTTCACACCACCGTTGACACAGGGCCCTCTTTCCCCATCTACCACCCAGTGGCTTGGCAGGTCTTTGAGGGTAAGGCAATGAACAGATCATAGTCATCCTGGCTTTCCATATCCCAGGATGGAGCCTGATAGGTGGTAGGCAATTAGAAATTGCTGCAAGTATAGCAGGCTGGGACCTGACTCAAGCAGGAGTAGTTTACTTACATGCTGATCAGAACACAAGCCCAAGGATGCTGCAGAGAGGTAGTTAATCCCAGAGATGCAGTTGGCATCCCAGACTAAGAGCCCCATTCAAATCAGCCACCTTATAAATAGACTAAATTGCTTACTAATTCATTGAACACAAATGCTTACTATATGCCAGGGTCCTGGGAGATGTGAGACTAAAATAGTGATGGACCTTTATGGAGATTATGGCCCAGAGATGAAGAGGAACAATGAATAATTTGACAATTATTATGAACCTTTGTGCAAGTTTTGAGAAAGGCTGTGAAAGAAACAAGTAGTGGAATGACAGTGCAGGGAGCACAGACTGGTATGGGTGGAGGAGTCTCCTTGAGAGAGCAGTCAGTGGCTTTTCATATCCAGTGACAGTTAAGTTGAAACCATTTATACATCAGAAGTATCAGAAGGAGCAGCCACTCAGAGTTGAGGGGCAAGAACAGTTCAGGAAGCGTATATGCTACTGATGGGAATGTAGACTCTAGTAGACACTATGAAGATCGATAAAGTCCTCAAAAGACTAGAAATAGAAATGCCATGTAATTTAGCTATAGCACTTCTGGGAATATACCCAAAAGAATCCAAGTCTACCACAGAGCTGCCTGCACGTCCATGTTTACAGCTGTAGTACTGACAATAGCCAAGATATGGAATGAGCCTAGATACCCAGCAACGCATGAATAAAGAAAATATGGCGCATATACACAATGGAATTTTCTTCACTCATAAAGAACAGTGAAATTATGTCATGTGAAGGAAAATTGATAGAATTGGAGAATATCATGTTCTGTGAGTTACATACATACATACATAATACATACATACATGCATATTGTGGTCGCTCTCCCGCTCGGCCCTCCGCTTGCCTGGCACTGTGTCTGACCGCTGCCGCTTCTGTCTAGTCCTGGACCCCAGGGCTGGTGAGGAGGCTGTGTCAGCGGAGCCACATTCAGACACAGGAGACCAGGTTCAGTGACACAGATCTGGTTTATTGCAGAAAAGCACAAGCTTATATAGGGGTAGCGGTCCAATGATAGCACAATGAGTAGGATACCTTATTAGCATAACAGGCTTAGCGTCTTATCACAGTATAGTGGGCCAGATGCCTTATTAGCATAGTAGGTTTCAGTTAAGTCACGTGACCCAGGCTGTTGATACTCAACCGTTTATCTGGAAGTGATAGTTTTAGAATTTAGAGGGTGGAGAGTGGGAAGTGGTGAGCTCTAGGTATCAGTCTCATGATTTTCCTGTTGGAGCATTTGTCACAAGGCATTCCTTGTGGCTCCAAAGGCCGGGCTGTTGCCTCAGGCTGCTGTAAGGTGCTCATAAGGACTTCTACTCTAGGCTCAAGCTTGTCTCCCACAACATATGGCATGAAAGTAGAAGGACACTGGCAGGAGAGAGAAGAAAGGGCAAGAGGATAAGGACAAGAGGCCGATGAGCAGCAGAGGGACAGGGCTGGCATGAGGGTGAAGAGAGTGGTGTCTCACAGGGTTTTGTGGGCCATAGTTCATTTCTATGCCATGGACTGAATGATTTGTTTTTATTGGTCACTCTCTGTGGAAAAATGATTGTTGTGGGAGGAGGAAGGATGCTGCATGAGAAATGCTGCTGGCTAGGACCTTGGCATAGCAATGGAGGACATGCCAAGTGAACAGATGCAAGGCGTAGTCGGGATAAGCCTTCGGGTTGCCGGTGCACTAGATGCCTAAGTAGGAATTTTGCTGAAGGGTGAAGAAGTTGCTTTTCTGGACTGAGCCAGTGAGGGTAATGGTCTGAGTGCAAACCCAGTGGCTACCAATGCAGAAGTAATACAGAGAGTGCTAACTGGCAGGATCCACTGTAGCAAAGCTGGGGGACCTTCAGTCCTGGAAGCAGATGGAGGTAGAGGTATCTCCAAAGTGGAGAAACTACCTCCTGGGGTGGGAGGTGTGGTGTTCCAGTTGCTATCTTGGTGACTTCTAAAAGAAAATTACCTTACCCATCCTCTCCTCAGGGCAGGCTCAGCCCAGAGCTAGCTGTCAACTCACCTCTTGGTCCCACCTTCCCTTCCCTTTCATTCCAGGAAATCCTGGGTCTCCTGGTGGCCCAAACTTGCCTGGAGTCCCCATGAAGCCAGCCTCTCCTCTCATGCCTAGCAAATCCAAAGGAAATCAAGTCAGGTGTTGCTGTGGTGGTGGGAGAGGGAGACTAGGCAGGAAGAGCGTTATCCACTGGCTCCCTTCCAAGGCTGCACAAGGCTGTGCAGTGGGGATGGATGCACACAGCACCCAGCGGAACAGACTTACCTTTCTGCTCTAGATCTCCAGGGAGGCCAGAGAAACCTGGAAATCCTTGGTTTCCCTTGGACCCTTGAAGGCCTGCAATTCCAGGGAAGCCAGGGTCTCCAGGGTCGCCTTGATCCGAGGATGGCCTGGGGGGACCTGGAGGCCCAGGGTTGCCTGGGCGGCCTAAGGATAAGATTGGAAGAGGATAAAGGGCAGGGGAGTAGGAAATAGCTACTGCTGAAGGCCTAGCGATTTGGGGAGCTGAAGTCCACTCCTAGTACAGGGGTTTTGTTGCTATCTGTCCCAGTGCTCTGATTTCTCAAATACTTCCTGGGAAATGCAGCCAGTTGTAGTCCCCTACATCCTGAGGAAAGGGTAGAAATTGACATCAAGCAGGCCCATGCATGTCCAGTAACAGGGATGAGGGCTGCACTATATACAGCACCTCCTTAATCATCAAAGTAAGGTGACCATTTCTATTTGGGGCTTCTTGTTTTTACCTCGTTCTCCATCTAGGCCTGGCCGCCCGGAGTCACCAGGCTGTCCTATGACTGAGGGCAAGGAGATGCCTGGGGCTCCGGGGGGACCGGCAGGGCCTTGAAGGCCTCGGAAACCTGCAAAGAATAAAAAAAAAAATGGAGCTTGGTGGGCTTCCCATGCCTGATGCACTCAAGAAATGGGAAACATTAGGTAGTAGCAAGACCAGAGTACACCAGCAGAGGGCTCTTCTCCCCTCATCCTATGTCCCAACCAGCAGAAAACAGTCAGATGAGAAGGGCTCAGACTCCTTTCCAGCTGGAGCTTCATTTTATTGGAACAGAGCTTTGGAAATTTCTAGCTTCCTAGTTTTACTGGTGATGGAAATATTTTAGGCATTTTTCTTCCAAATCAGAAATAAAAGAAGGCATGGCTGAGCAGCTGGAATTTAAGTTCCCCAAGTGTTCTTAAACCTACAAGCCCATCAAACAATCTTTCTTTCCTAACTCAGCCAGTTGTCTGATGCTGCACAAAGATTATGGATAGAGGTATGTCTCAGGCAGGGCCATTCAGAATGGATAAAGCAAGAGTTCTGTGACTCCCTCCCCAGTGTCTCCTAGGTTTCCATGCTATCGTCTTGAATTTCTAGGCAAACTGGAAAACAATCTTTTATAGGCGATTCATAACATTAATTGAATGACTATTGAATACATCTCTCTGTACTAAATACCTGCCCCTATTGGCGAAAGGGAAAAGCTGTGTATTAGAGTAGATACAGAATACTTGTTTGCTTGGGTTTTCAAGTGTTTTACATATTTTCAGGTACAAAGTGAGGAAATTAAAAAAACAAAGGATTAAATCAATGACGACAGAAGTATTTGGGCCCCCAAGCTCCTACATGAATGGCTGACTTAGCTTTCCATGAAATGAAAAACATCAAGTAGTTGTAGCCCCAGGATTCCAATGGGAAGCTGTGGAGGGAACTCCACAACAAGGGAAGGAAATTCAATGGGAGCCAGCCCTGAAGCAGGAGCTCAGGGATCCCTGGCCTTGTAAGCAAGGCCTCTTTATAGTGGCTAATCAGATAATTCCCCAGTGGGGGTCTTAGTCTGTGAGCTTATGGCCTGTATTTTTTTTTTCACCTAGGCAGCTTCTGTGAAGACCTCAGAAACACAGAAGGACAAAAGAGATAAAAAGGTTCAAGGCTGACCTTGAACTCAGAGCTCCATCTGCCTCTGTGCTGGATAGCTTTGGTGTCAACTTGACACACCTGGGTAGAGGGAGCCTCAAGTGGGGAATTGTCTCCATTGGACTGGCCTGTGGCCATGTCTGTGGGACTTTTTCTTGATTGTTGAGTGATGTGGGAGGGCCCAGCCCACTGTAGGTGGTGCCATCCCTGGGCAGGTGGGCCTGTGTTGCATAAGAAAGCAGGCTGAGCAGGGGGCCAGAAGAGCAAGCCTGTAAGCAGTGTTCCTCCATGGCCTGTGCTCCAGCTCCTGCTTCCAGGTTCCTGCCCTGAGTTCCTACCTTGGGCTCCCTGATGAACTGCAACCTGGGAGATGTAAACTGAATAAACCCTTTCCTCCCCAAGTTGGTATTGGTCAGAGTGTTTTGTCACAGCAATGAAGAACGAACTAGAACAGCCTCTACGGAGAGTGCTGGAATTAAAGGTGTGTGCCACCACACCCCACCCCCTCATATTTTTTTTCAATTTAAAATGCTGTAAATGGGCAGATGCTAGTGCAGAATGCCCATTTTCTAACTCATTTCAATGCCAAAGCCTTAAAAATTTAAATACACAAATGTAGGATCTAAAGATTTAATGCAAACATGAAAACAAGAGTATAATTGGAAATTATTTAACTAAAGGTATTGTAAGCACAGGGAATGCTATAGGAAGTTTTCTTAGGTTTAAATTTGTTTTCCACTGTCTTCCATTAGCAAATCACAGGCAGTTTCCTCTGGGGAATATGATGCATGTTATATTCTTTTTAAACAATTTTTTTCAATAAAGAATAATCCAGATATGATGAATACATCTGTATTGCACTGCCCCACTAAAGAAAAATGAAGATGGCATTTCCTCGGGAATTTCATGTGTGGTCTTCATAGATTCTCTCTCTTCCTTCCCTCTCAGTGACAACCAATCCCGAATCTGTGTTCAGATTTCCTTTTCATTACAGTCTGGCTGTTTGTGCTTGTCTTGAGCATTTATTGATGGACTCATACCAAATGCATTCCTTTCTGACATACTTTCCCCCCTGTAATTATCTTTCTGTACTATATTCATCTTAATATGTGTTGTTTAATGCATTTGTAATAGTGATTTTATATCCTCAGTTAAAGTAAGTGAATAATTTGATAACCAGATATTCACAGTCAAGGTTTACAAACAGAAAAGGAAATACCCTGTGATTCCTTCCCATCCCCTCTCCTCTATGTCCTGGGAAAGAAACCACAGTTGCTCTGCAGGCCCAGATCCTGCTTGGAGCACTTCCTCTGGAGAAGCTTCTGGCTTCCACCAAAGAACGAGTTTGTCCAGACCAATGCAAAGAGGAAACACGGAAACAGCAGAAACAGTAATTCCAAATGCAGCAGGAAATGTGTGAATACAGTTCCTAGGAAACATATGTACATTACATAAACATAGTGTGCTGAGATTCAAGGCCCAGAAGATACTGCAAATATTACTTCCCCAAGTAACATATAAGAGCATAATGGCCAGTTGTTTGTAGCATCTGCTGGGCACTGAGATAAGTGCCTTTACTCACATTGCCTCACTGTTCAGTGACTCCTCGGAAAATCAATGTGGTGGTTCTTTTGTTATATTCATGTTACAGAGAAGGAAAACTAAGGGTTCAGATAGCTAATGAGAGAGAGGAGGAACTGAAATTTGAACCCAGAGGCTATACTGCATTCACTTTCTGGTTTACAGTGAGTGGGGGCCATATGGGTCTTCAGAACATTCCTAAGCAAAGCTGAAGAATGATTCCTTTTTGAGAAGTTTCAGAAGGGGACTCTCATTAAGACTTCAGGCAAGGTGGGGAGCTGAATTAAGGGTGGCATCTGCTTTCTATCAATACAGCCAATCCTGATGGCGTGCAGGCTGTGGGCCTGACCTCAGGAGACCCTTTCACTTATTCTCTTAGTCTTGGGATTCTTCTGCCAGCTGGTTCCTCTCACCCACACTGGACACTAAGAAATTCCAGCCAATCTCTCACTAAAAGGATAAGCTCTGTTCTTTAGAAGCATTCATCGTGACTGTGGACTACTGTGCAGAAGAGACCTGGAGTTTAAACCAGCCAAGGAAAACTGGAGGCTAGAGGGAACTTGGTGAAGTGCTCTCAACACCTTTTACTAAGAATCTATAGGCATAATCATCCTTTCTAGCAGTCATTGTTACAAGTTCTGAGACTGTCAAAGATGTGAAGACACATAATTCGGCACTGTGAACCATGTGGCCCCAAAGAACCGCAAACCTAACTTAAGCTTTCTTACCTCGGTCATCTTTTTGCCCCCTTGAACCTGGTTTCCCTGGATCTCCGATGACAATTCTTGGTGTTCCCTTTTTCCCTTTAGGACCAGGCAAGCCAGCAGGTCCAGGCACACCAGTGACACTGGCTCCTAGGAGAGAAGCACAGGAAGGGACAGAGCTCAGAGAAAGACAGGACCTCCTGCCTAACTGACTTCCCTATGGCCTGGAAGAAGAGTTCATTCAGGCAGAACAAAACCTAGCCTCTTTCCTCCTTGTATCAGGAAACCTCTAATTGAAGTCTGGTGAAAGATCTTTGAGTCTCAGGATATGGGTATACCACAGTTGAGAATACATAGCTAGCCTCTGCCTGGTTTCTGGAATAGCTGATGTACTTTACCTTGACCTTGAGGGCTTTTCTTACCTGGAGTGCCATGGGTACCCTTGGTGCCTGGAAGTCCACTTAGTCCATGTAAACCAGGAGGTCCAGAGAATCCTAAGGAGAAAGAATATAAGAAATAGCTCCAGCAGCTCTCAATTATGAGGACGCAGTCAGAAATAGATGTCTATCTACAAAGGCATTTGCAAGGTCCTCATTTGGGAGTTTTTATCATTACTACTGAGGGATTACTTAATGCCTGAAGGAAGAATATCCAATTCCTAACCTACATGCTGTATCTTAGATGCTCATGACTCTCATCAAAGACCACTGCAGGTTCAAGAGTGAGATGGCAGTTAATTGTCTGTTAAGTTTTGTATCTGAACTATCTCCCCAAAGCCCAGATGTTGAAGGTTTATTCAGTATAGATGGTCACAGAAGTACGGCTTTTAGGAGCTATTTAGATTACAGAGACTCTGACCTCAGAAATGTATTATTTTTTGACTCATAACTTAATGGGCTATTGAGAGGTGGGGGAACTTCTAAGAAGTGTGGCATAGTTGGAGGAAGTAGATAATTGGAAACATCATTGAAGGGGATTCTTCCCCTTTTGGGACCAGGCAAGCCAGCAGATTCAGGCACACCAGTGATACTGGCTTCTTGGTCCCTGGCACTACCTTCTGTCTTTTACTGCTTCCTGATCACCATGACATGAACAGTTTTGCTCTACCACATACTCCCTACCACGATGTTCTGCCTTGCGATGGGTCCCAAAACAATGAATCCAAGTGACTGTGGTCTTAAACCTCTAAAATTGTGAGCCAAAATAAATATGTCCACTTTTTTTTGTTTTTTTGAGACAGGGTCTCCCTGCAGCCCCAGCTGGCCTGGAACTCACTATGTAAATCAGTCTGGCCTCAATCTCACAGAGATCATCTGCCCTCTGCCTCCCGAGTGCTGGGATTAAAGTCATGTACCACCACGCCCGGCTCTGACTTGTTTTTTAAAAAAACTTATTTATTTCAATTTTATGTTTGTGTGTGTGTAAGTGAACCTGTGTCATGCAATGACTACAGAGGCCAAAAGAAGGTATCAGATCTCCTGGAACTGGAGATACACAGTTGTTAGCCACCACATACATGCTAGGAACTAAACCCAGGTCCTTTGCAAGAGCATTCAGTGCTCTTTAACCCTGAGCCATCTCTCCAGGTCCCTGACTTGCTTTTTAAGAATCTTGAATGATCAAGATTTAACCTGTGTCATCATGCTTATTACATCAGCTAAAAATAGGTTCTAAAACAGAAAATTATAGGACATACTATCTTGTCATCTTTTTTTGATAATCATTCAAGGTGACAAAGTGACAAGGGAAGAAACAGGCTTAAGAAATAGAATCTTGGAACCAGGTGTGGTTGTGCATGCCTTTAAACCCTGCACTTTGGAGGTAGAGGCAGGCAGAGCTCTGTGAGACTGAAACCAGCCTGGTCTATATAACAAGTTTCAGGCCAGCTCAGGCTACAGGGAGACCTTGTCTTAAAAAAAAAATAGCATCGTGGTTATCAGGAAGGGTGCTTCTTACGTAAGTAAATTTGGGTAGTATGCTAGGCAGGTTGAAAAAGGCTAAGAAATTATCTTCCTTAGTATACAGAGAATCACTAAAGGAAGCAGACATAATTTAAGTAGCAATAGCACTTTGTGGAAATCAAAAGAAAGCTAAATGGGAGAAGGCATTTAATTTTCAGCAATGTTCATAAGTAGGATTGAATGGGTAAAGTCTACAATAATAGATGAGAAACTACTCAGGAAGTGTCATTCACTCACTTATCCATCCATCATCCATCCATCTATCTAACCAACCAACAATTTATCTTTTCCAAAAGCATATAGGTATTTGATAGGCTAGTTATGAGACAATAAGAACTTATCAGAAAGAAGGTAAAGGAAAAAACATGAGGCATTTTCAAGGAAGAATAAGACAACCTTAAATTTTCAAGTGTGGTGCCACGAATGGAAACACTGATGTTATAGAACACAGTAGTTGTAATGAAGAGATAAAGAAGACTTTTATAATATAAGAGGAAATATTGCACATTATAATTCCTGAAAGTAAGTTTTCTAAAGGGGGGGGGGAGTTAAACTATCACATAAGTATTAAGGTTTCTGCACAATCTCATATTCTATCAGTTGAGAAAATGTTCTTGTCTGATGATGATATTACCATATGTGCTGGATAGCTTTAGTGTCAATTGACACACCTGGGTTGAGGGAGCCTCAATTGGGGAATTTCCTCTATTGGACTGGCCTGTAGCCATGTCTGAGGGACATCTTCTTGATGAGTGATGTGGGAGGGCCCAGCCCACTGTGGGTGGTGCCACCCATGGGCAGGTGGGCCTGTGTTGCATAAGAAAGCAGGCTGAGCAGGGGCCAGGGGAGCAAGCCAGTAAGCAGTGTTCCTCCATGGCCTGTGCTCCAGCTCCTGCTTCCAGGTTCCTGCCCTGATGAACTGCAACCTGGGAGTTGTGAGCTGAATAAACCCTTTCCTCCCCAAGTTGGTATTAGCCAGAGTATTTTGTCACAGCAATGAAGAAACAAACTAAGACACCATACAATTTAGAGGACAATTTGTCTAATCTCTCACTAAGAATGTTTCTGACATTTGCAACAAATGGTCATCCATTCTCTCCTTGAACTTTTCCAGGAATTATGAGCTTATAATCTCCTTAGACAGCTCTGTGACATTTTCAGATTTCTCTGTTAGGAGGGTCCTAATCAAGTAGAGATGAAATATATATTGTTCTACCTTCTAAATTTACCATAGTACACTATAATCTTTTTCCCACTTGAAAACCCTTTAAGAAGGTAGAATGTGATGATTATGACCAACCAAGTCTCTTTTTATGACTCATTTCATGCATATGAGTCATGGTCACTCTACAGAGTTGGTTTTCCAAGTCAAAAGCCACCTGATTGCATGACTCACCTTGGGCTCCACGGAGGCCTTGTTGCCCTGGCAACCCATCTACTCCTTTATCTCCAGGAAACCCATGCGGCCCAGGAAGTCCTGGCAGCCCAGTTCCTGGGGGACCAGTTGGACTATCAGGACCCTTTTTACCAGGAAGTCCTCATGACCCCTTTTCACCTGGGAATCCAGGTCCACTATCTCCCTAGAGGACAAAGAAAAAGAGAATGAAAGTTTATTTTAGAGATTTACCTGGAGAGGCTTCCATCCATTTGAAAGGGTTAGTCAGTGTGAATAATGTTCTATGTTTTATGAAAACTCTCCATCACCCTAGTTTGTTGAGTAGCTTTTGAATTTCATTGGTGTGAATGAACCTTCCCAACTCTGGATGATCTGACTTTGTAAATGGTTCTAATTAGGGGTAGGGAGAAGGCAGGGAATGAGCATGACACCAACAATCCTTGAAGTCACAGAAAACAGCTTGATTACTTGATTCATAGGGAAGCTAATCCATTTGTAAGTGATATGGTTAACTGTCACCTATACTTATCAAATGAGATAGTAAATATTCTGAGAGAAAGATTCTCATTTTACACAAAAATAAAAGCATGGATTCAACGTGCAGGGGGCAGCTGGACTCTTGGAATGATCAGGTTACCTGAAGGCCTGGCAGACCTGGTAAACCTGGTATTCCATCCTTGCCTGCGGCTCCTGCCATAACTGTGGACAAATGGGGACAAGGATCACCTTTGTCTCCTGACATTTTTGATCCTCGACTGATAGTTGGTTCACCTTTCTTTCCTTTGGGGCCTGTATGACCTGGAGGTCCAAATAACCCTTGACAAAAAACAAAATGGTAATCAGGGATGAAGATTATAGAATTCTCATGCTTAGCACAGGTTCTTGGGCACTTGATTATGTTGTTATCTTGATTAATTACTGCCTATTTTCTGTATCTTTTCTAAATTTTGAAATCTTTGAAGATTGAATTTCATCTTAATTTCTATTTAACCTTCTGAGCCCAGTACAACCCATCTAGTGTGGAAGGGAGGGAGAGGAACACAAGTAGGTTAAAGCAGAAAGAGACCGTAGAGACGATCCAATCAGACTTCTTCATGTGACAAATCAGATTCTGTTTTATGCCTATCTTTTTTCATGTGTCTTAGGAAAGTGAGCAATGGAGAATAAAGAGCATATGAAAACATCTATTGCTCCTTCGGGGTCAAAGATAGGTCAGACTTACTGGAGTCCCTGCTGGGCCAGGTACACCTAAAGAGCCTGGATCTCCTCTGGTCCCTTTAATGTCTGGGAGGCTGATGAGATCTTATATCCCAAGCAGACCTGGTTCCCCAGGTGGTCCAGTGTTGGGGACACCAACTTCACATGCACAAGAACCAGAGTGCCCTGAGGGAAAACAGACAACATCAAATGAAGTAGGTTCTGTTTCTAAAAGGGAAGACCCAAGAGTGGTTATCTGTGACTCGATAAACTTTCCTTTCAGGGAATCAAATGGCCTATGAAGACTAAACAGATTAGGCTCACTGTCCATCAGAATGCATCTGTGCTAGTGAGTTGGTTTTTACTAGTCTGGGATGAGGTCCAGCAATCAGTGAGTCTAATGTTTGAGAACCAACCAGTTGCTACATAAACAAATGGGAGTCTAGAATCTAAGCCCCCCCAAAGGTTCACACCACCAAAATGCTTTCCCTCTGAGTTTTGATTGTATGTATACATGAGACAAATGTCAAACAAACTGAGGATAAGTATTTCAGTGAAGTACTCTTTTTAGATAGGGTCTCATGAACTTCCAACTTGCCTTAAACTCATTATGTAGCTATGGATGCCCCTGAATTTCTGATCCTCCTGCCTCGATGGTTTGGGGCACACACACACACACACACACACACACACACACACAATCAACAAATTTTAAAAAATATATTATATTTGAGGAGGAAGCATGGAAATTTATATCATGCTAATTAGTAGAGGTGCAACCGATTACGACTAGTAATAATCAGATACATACAGATTAAATTAGAGATGCATGCACCAACATCTCAGTAGCAAAAACAATGAATCTGAGCCTTTCTGTAAGGAACAATATATTCTAAAATGAAATGGAGATCTTTTTTAAAGGTTAAAAAACTCTTCAATTTTACATCT